CAACCAGTGCTCTTCCTATCTCTGCCCCATCTGCCCACCCGCCCTTCCTGATCCACCACACTTGCAACCCCACCCCTCTTTGACTGCTGCTCCTCCCCAGCTCCCTGGCACTGCTGTCCCCAGTTACCCTCCGCCTGCTCTGCTCTGGCCCTTGCCCTCTCCGCATGGGACTGATGATCACTGCCCCCATCCCAGGATAGTGGATGGCATTGAGGACTCTGGCAGCACAGCGGAGGCCCCTACCTTTCGGTTCAGCAGGAGGCATGAGCACGCTAGGCCCTGCTCACAGGCCCCTCCTTCAGGTAAGGGCCAGCCGTAGACCTCACTCTCCGTCACCCATTCACCCGCCATCCGTCCACCCGTCCGTCCCTTCAGCCGTCCATCCCATGTGTAGTAGGGGCTGACCATGTGCCGGACTCTGTGCTGGGAAAGCATAGATGTGTCAGACCTGGCCTGCACGCTCAGTGAGCTTCCAGTCTAGTGGGGGACACACCTGTGTCCTCAGATAAACGATTCCAGAACAGGGTGCCAAGTGCCACAACCGAGACAGGAACAAGGCTCTGAGGTAGGAGGGGAGGGCACCCCTAACTGTCCTTCTTAGAGGAGGGGACACTTGTAGGGGGTCTTAAGGGTTGGGTAGGAGTTTGAGGGGTGGAGCAAGGCAGTTGTTGGGATAAAGGCAGGAGAGAAGAGCATGTTGTGTTCAGATGCTAAAGAGAAGCTTTTGCATGTACAGCTGGGGCAGGGGTCAGGGGAAGGGGCAGGGAAGAGTCTGGCTTTCCCATCATCCTGAGCCCAGAGCTTCTTCTCCTCTCTTCTCTGCCTGCCCAGCAAGAGGAGGGGACCCAGCCCAAGCCGTAGACTCCCGCTCCTTGCACTCACCCTGCACCCTTCCACCCCATTCTGGCTGCAGGGACCAGGCCCAGCCAGGAACTGGCCACTGAGGCTGAGGAGATGAAGGAAAAGGTCTGCAGGCTAAACCAGGAGGTAGGTTGGGGTTGACTCCTTCCCTCCAACCTTGGCAGATAGCATCTTGGGATCAGCGATGTGCCTCGTATGTAAGAGCATTTGAGGGTTTGGAGCCAGAGTCCTGAGTTCACTTATTCACACTAGCCGGGTGACCTTGGGCAAGTCCCACAACCACCCCAAACTTCAATTTCCTCATCGAAAAATGGGAAAAATAACCTGTTTTTGCCAGAGTTGTTGAGCATGATATAAGAGTGCTCACATGCCTGGCCCAGCCCCTGGCACAGGTAAGTACTCAGTGCCTGCTGCCTCCACCCTTTCCCGGCTGGCTCAGGCTATCTAGCCCGCAAAGACAACCTCTCCTCCCTCCTCCACTGTGGGGTTCTCTCCTTTAGGGACCTGCCCCCTACCAAGTCCTTTTCCTTCCCCAGCCCTGGGAAGGGAATGCTCAGCAAACTTAGGGGTCAGAGGACAGGGAGGCTGAGAGGCCTTCAGCCCTGGAAGACCTGGATCCTCATGTCTAAACCCTGGTCAGGAAGAGCCCAGATCTTGTATGCCAAGGCTCTGCGTCTGCCTCCTCCCAGGGGATCTCTGAGCTGTCATCAGGGCACAGTCAGGCCCAACCCTTAGGGAGTGGGCCTTCCCTGGGTTCTGATAAACATCATCTGCATCCCAGGAGGGCAGCCCCTGGGGCTGGGGGGCGGGACCAGGCCCTGTTGGGCCAGATGGAGGGCCAGTCCTGCTTGGGCTCACTGTTCTAGGTGGTGTTTCCCACACTTGAGTGTCTGTCAGCCCCATTAAGATGCAGACTCCTGAGCCTCACCCAATTTGGAATGGCTGGGGCGGGGCCCAGGAATCTGCATTTTGACAAGTTTCTCAGTTGATTCGTATTCCCTGAAGTTTGCAAAACACTGAATAGATGCTTGAGCTTGTGTGCGGGGGTCACCTGAGAGTAAGGCTGCTGTGTCTGTCACTTCCAGCTTTGTGGCCTCTTTGAGCCTATTTTTCTGCCTCTTGTAAAAGTGGAGGAGAGGGGATAGCAATACCTGCTCTCCCAAAGCCTTTTTGGAAACAAGCTGAGTGTTTACCTCTAGACAAAGATAACCCCTGCCCTGCCTTTTTCTCGCAGTGGCCGTGAGCAGGAGTGGCTGGGAAAGAGTTTTGTACACAGTGGAGGGGGGCGCACCCGGGAGATCAGTGATCGTTGTGGCATCTGGGAAACGATTTGTTGTGTTTTCAACAGATCTCCCGCCTCAACCAGGAAGTGTCTCAGCTGAGCCGGGAGCTTCGACACATCATGGGCCTGCTACAGGCTAGGCTGGGTCCCCCAGTCCACCCAGTAGTCTCGGCTCGGCTCCCAGACCCTCCTGGTCCCCAGCTGAGGCCTCCACGCATCTCACCCTGCCTACCTGGACCACCGCCCAGCCTCCAGGATACTACTTTTGCTGAGGTCCACTGCCCAGCCAGTGTGGGCACAGCAGAGATGGGGGCCGCCCCCTCCAACCTGAGGCTCTCCGTGCTATCCCCCTTCCCCTCAGAGCCTGAGCCTCTGGGACCTTCCCCAGTGCCAGAGGCCCCATCCCCGACCCCAACCCTCATGCAGCACAGCTTTCGGTCCAGGTCAGACACGTTCCACTGACCCTGGCCCTGGGCCCAGGCCCGTCTGGGGTGGGCACTGCTGCTTGCCATCCAGGGAGGGACTGGGCCCCTTGGCCTCCTGCCTCCGGTCAACAGCCACCGGCTGGTCTGGTTGGCTCTGCATTCTCTGGACTTTTTAACAAAGCCTGGTTACTTCGGACCCTCTTCCCTTTTCTAAACCTTCCCGTATCCTTCCCCTCTGTGAGGGGGAGCCACCTGAGGCTGTGGAACCCAACAGGCATGAGACAGAATGCAGTGCCGATCCGGCTGGGCAGATGACATGTCCTGCTTTCTCCCCAGGATCTGGAGGCAGGTAGATACCAGGGAGCACCGGGGGTTGGGGGAGGGTCCCAGATCAAGCCCACGAAGACTGAGGCAAGAGCAGGCAGGATCTTGGTGTCTAAGGCAAGAGGGACAGATTGCAGATTCTGCAGCAGAGATAGCTTAGTGATATTGTGAGGCCTTCTATCTCAGCCCCTGGATTCTGCTGGACACCTTGGAAGCGATGTCACCTTGAGACAGGTAGGTTTGAGATCGCAGCTGGCATCTGAGGAACCCAAGACTCCTTAGACCTCCCCCTACCAGCCCAGGCTGGAGGGGCTCAGCCCATCCCTCAACCCACACAAGAAACAAACGGGTGGCCCCCAGATATGTATTCTTCGGTTCTCGCAGATTTGTGTGTGTGTGTGTGTGTGTGTGCGCGTGTGGTAAAATACGAATGAGTTGCTGACACTAAAAATCAGAGTTCACACAAATATCCAGATATTCCAGTTTCTCTAAAAAACTTGGGGCGTTCTGGCAACCCTGGGCCAACATTCCACTGGCGATAATCCACTGGTGTTGAGTGGCCGCAGTCCTCTTGAGATGGGGCCTGTGCTCGCCACTTTTTCACAGTCCCCACATTTCTGGATCATCTCCTGACACTTAGCTGGCTTCCCTCCTTTGACTTCTTTGTCTGGTCTCTGTAGGTATTTGGATTTGCAGTTCCTGCCTTAGAGTGTCCTCTCTGGGTTCCTGTGCTCCAGAGAGTGCTTTCTGGGCCCAGAAATGTCAGCTTCTACCCCTGGGCCTGGGCCTGTCAACATCTCTGTTTCTGTGTTTCTGCAGGCTGTCCCTGAAGGTGGTCTTTTCTGCTGCCAGCAACTTGAAACAGTCCCCACGGCACTCCCTACCCCTCCCCTCACCAGACCTCTTCCGAGCCTGTTCTCCCCACACCCAACACGGTCTCACTCAGGGCCCTGACTTCTCACAAACCCACCCTGTTCTCCAGTTCTCCTTTGCCACCCAACACCCAAGGCTCACTTTTGGATAGGAAATAAATGCTTTATTTTTGTAGTTGTTGGCTCTGGCTGTTTCTGGGGGTTGGTCTGAGAGCTCCAGGGCTTTGGAGGAGCCTACAGGGCAGTCACTCCCCACCGCACCCCAGGGCCCTGTTGCTGTCTCTAGGAAGGGCAAAGGCGCCGAGCAATCCACTTGGCACCACATTCACGCCACCAGAAGCCCCAGGGATGAGGTAGAAACCTTAATGAGTCACTGCGGGCCCGTTATACCCCTCCTCCTCCCACCCATGACAGCCACAGATTCAGACACAGTGTGTGAGAGGCACAGAGTCCTGACTCAGACCCACCTCCAGCTCTGGAAAGGTAGCCAGTGGGACGCCCCACTGATCTTGTATAACCAATCCTGTACCTGTTATAGGCTAGGTACAGCAGGGTCTGGGGGGAAAAGCTTGTCACTAGCCAAGAACCTGCTAGGAATTCCACTCTGCCCGTCTCCTTTGCTCTCTTAAGTCCTCTCTTCCCTCTTAGCTTTCACTTCTCAGATGATCACTGCAGGGATGCAGGGGTGGGGAAATGGGGGTTACGGCTATTGTTAGAAAGCGGCGCTCTGGTGACCAGATGGAACTAGGTGTGGGCAGTTTTGCGGCAGGCGGTCCCAGACAGGTTGATTCTTCAGCTCAGGCTCCAAAGTATGATTGGTGTCAGCAGGTGTCACAGGAACAACGCCCACAGCTGTCTCTGGACTGAGCTTTGATTCCATACAAGTTTTGAGTAGTATTCCTGGGAGTGGGATGCAAACGCAGAGGAGATACCGGTCCGTGTTGGGGGAGGG